GTGTCAGTGCCCCCTAACAGTGTCAGTGCCCCTAACAGTGTCAGTGCCCCCTAACAGTGTCAGTGCCCCTAACAGTGTCAGTGCCCCCTAACAGTGTCAGTGCCCCAATGGGTCAGTGCTCCTAACAGTGTCAGTGCCCCCCTAACAGGGTCAGTGCCTCCCTAACAGAGTCAGTGCCCCCCTAACTGTGTCAGTGCCCCCCTAACAGAGTCAGTGTCCCCCTAACAGGGTCAGTGCCTCCCTAACAGAGTCAGTGCCCCCCTAACAGTGTCAGTGCCCCCCTAACAGTGTCAGTGCCCCCCTAACAGTGTCAGTGCCCCCCTAACAGTGTCAGTGCCCCCCTAACAGTGTCAGTGCCCCCCTAACAGTGTCAGTGCCCCCTGATGGTGTCAGTGCCCCCTAACAGCGTGTGTCCCCCTCCAGTGGGGTGTGTGCCCCCCTAACAGTGTCAGTGCCCCCCTAACAGTGTCAGTGTCCCCTCAGTGGGATGTGTGCCCCCCTAACTGTGTTTCCCCAGGCATCGGGCTGGACTCGTGTGTGATCCCCCTGCGGCACGGGGGGCTGTCACTGGTGCAGACCACCGACTTCTTCTACCCCATCATCGATGACCCCTACATGATGGTACCCCAAAACACCCCCTGGCACCCCAAAACACACCCTGGGACCCCAAAACACCCCCTGGCACCCCAAAACACCCCCTGGCACCCCAAAACACCCCCTGGGACCTCCAAAAACCCACAGGAACACCCCCAAACACACCCTGGGACCCCCTGGGATCCCCAAATACATCTTGGGACCCCCAAAACACTCCCTGGGACACCCCCAAACACACCTGGGAGCCCCAAAACACACCCTAGGACCTCCCCAAACACACCTGGGAGCCCCAAAACACTCCCTGGGACCCCAAAACACACCTTGGGACCCCAAAACACATTCTGGGACCTCCCCAAACCCACTTGGGACCTCCACACACCCCATGGGACCCCAGAACACCCCCTGGGACCCCAGAACACCCCGTGGGACCCCCCAAACATGCCATGGGACCCCCAGACACACCCTGGGACCCCCAAACACCTCCTGGGATCCCCCCTCAAACCCACCTGGGATCCCCAAACACCTCCTCTGGGGCCCCCAAACCCCCCTGGGACCCCTGAACACGCCCTGGGACCCCCCCAACACCCCTTGGGACCCCCAACCCCCAACCCGGCATGCTCAACTCCCTAGGGACCCCCAAATCTTCTCCTGGGCTCCCCATACCCCACCTGGGACCCCCCAAATCCCCTCCTGAACCCCCAAACCCCACCTGGGACCCCAAAACCCCTTCTCGGACCCCCAGATCCCCTCTTGGGCTCCCCAGAACCCCATCTGGGACCCCAAACCCCACCTGGGACCCCCAAATCCTCTCCTGAGCCCCCAGATCCCCTCCTGAACCCCCAAATCCCCTCAGGCCCCCCCCTCAGAGCCCCCTCCCCCCTTTTCCAGGGCCGCATCGCCTGCGCCAACGTGCTGAGTGACCTGTACGCCATGGGGGTCACCGAGTGTGACAACGTCCTGATGCTGCTGAGTGTCAGCCAGCGCATGACTGACGAGGTGACAGGGACTGGGGGACACTGCGGGGGTCACAGGGACACACTGGGACACTGGGGGGGTCACAGGGATACAGGGGGGTCACCGAGTGTGACAACGTCCTGATGCTGCTGAGTGTCAGCCAGCGCATGACTGACGAGGTGACAGGGACTGGGGACACTGGGGGGGTCACAGGGACACAGGGGGGTCACTAAGTGTGACAATGTCCTGATGCTGCTGAGCGTCAGCCAGCGCATGACTGACGAGGTGACAGGGACTGGGGACACTGGGGGGGTCACAGGGGGGTCACAGGGACACTGGGGGTGTCACAGAGACACTGGGGGGTCACCGAGTGTGACAACGTCCTGATGCTGCTGAGTGTCAGCCAGTGCATGAGTGACGAGGTGACAGGGATTGGGGACACTGGGGGGGTCACAGTGACACACAGGGACACTGGGGGGGGTCACAGGGACACAGGGGGGTCACCGAGTGTGACAACGTCCTGATGCTGCTCAGCGTCAGCCAGCGCATGACTGACGAGGTGACAGGGACTGGGGACACTGGGGGGGTCACAGAGGGGTCACAGGGACACTGGGGGGGTCACAGTGACACAGGAGTGTCACAGAGGGGTCACGGGGGTCACAGGGATACAGGGGGGTCACCGAGTGTGACAACGTCCTGATGCTGCTGAGTGTCAGCCAGTGCATGAGTGACGAGGTGACAGGGACTGGGGACACTGGGGGGTCACAGGGACACACAGGGACACGGGGGGATCACAGAGGGGTCACAGGGACACTGGGGGGGTCACAGGGACACTGGGAACACTAGGGGGGGTCACAGCGACACGGGGGGGTCACTGAGTGTGACAACGTCCTGATGCTGCTCAGCGTCAGCCAGCGCATGAGTGACGAGGTGACAGGGACAGGGGACACTGGAGGGGTCACAGGGACACACAGGGACACTGGGTGGGTCACAGGGACATTGGGGGAACACTGGGGACACACTGGGGGGGTCACAGGGACATGGGGGGGTCACCGAGTGTGACAACGTCCTGATGCTGCTGAGTGTCAGCCAGCGCATGAGTGACGAGGTGACAGGGACAGGGGGGTCACAGGGACACACTGGGACACTGGGGACACTGGGGGGGTCACAGAGGGGTCACAGGGACACTGGGGGGGTCACAGGGACACACAGGGACACTGGGGGGTCACAGAGGGGTCACAGGAACATGGGGGTGTCACAGGGATACAGGGGGATCACCGAGTGTGACAACGTCCTGATGCTGCTGAGTGTCAGCCAGCGCATGAGTGACGAGGTGACAGGGACAGGGGGGTCACAGGGACACACTGGGGGGTCACAGTGACACAGGGGTGTCACAGAGGGGTCACAGGGACATGGGGGTGTCACAGGGATACAGGGGGGTCACCGAGTGTGACAACGTCCTGATGCTGCTGAGTGTCAGCCAGTGCATGAGTGACGAGGTGACAGGGACTGGGGACACTGGGGGGTCACAGAGGGGTCACAGGGACACACAGGGACACTGGGGGGTCACAGAGGGGTCACAGGGACACACAGAGACACTGGGGGGGATCACAGGGACACGGGGGGGTCACCGAGGGTGACAACGTCCTGATGCTGCTGAGTGTCAGCCAGTGCATGAGTGACGAGGTGACAGGGACTGGGGACACTGGGGGGGTCACAGGGACATTGAGGGGACACTGGGGACACAATGGGGAGTCACAGGGTCATTGGGGGGTCACAGGAACCACCCCGTGTCCCCCCTGTGCCCCCCAAGCAGGACAAGGTGATGCCCCTGATCATCCAGGGGGGTGACAATGACAAAGGGGGAGGTGACAGTGACACAGAGGGGGGTGACAGTGACAGGGAGGTGACAGTGACACAGGGAGGTGACAGTGACACTGAGGGAGGTGACAGTGACACTGAGGGAGGTGACACTGACACAGGAAGGTGACATTGCCCTTCTATCCCCTCAGGAGCGGGACAAGGTGATGCCCCTGATCATCCAGGGGAGAACAGTGACACAGGGGGAGGTGACACTGACATTGAAGGGTGACAGTGACAGTGGGGGAGGTGGCAGTGACACTGAGGGGGGTGACAGTGACACAGGGAGGTGACATTGCCCTTCTGTCCCCTCAGGAGCGGGACAAGGTGATGCCCCTGATCATCCAGGGGGGTGACAGTGACAGTGACACTGTCACACAGGGAGGTGACATTGCCCTTCTGTCCCCTCAGGAGCGGGACAAGGTGATGCCCCTGGTCATCCAGGGGGAGGTGACACTGACACTGAGGGGGGTGACACTGACACACAGGGAGGTGACATTGCCCTTCTGTCCCCTCAGGAGCGGGACAAGGTGATGCCCCTGATCATCCAGGGGGAGGTGACAGTGACATAGGGAGGTGACACTGACACAGAGGGAGGTGACATTGCCCTTCTATCCCCTCAGGAGCGGGACAAGGTGATGCCCCTGATCATCCAGGGGTTCCGGGACGCGGCCGAGGACGGGGGGACGTCGGTGACGGGGGGACAGACGGTGCTGAACCCCTGGGTCATCGTGGGGGGCGTGGCCACGGCCGTCTGCCAATCCAGCGAGTTCATCATGTGAGTGACAGCTGGGGGCGGGGCCTGGGGATGGGGCGTGGTCACTGTCATCTGCCAATCCAGCGAGTTCATCATGTGAGTGACAGCTGGGGGCGGGGCTTGGGGAGGGGGCGTGGCCACGGCCATCTGCCAATCCAGCGGAGTTCATCATGTGAGTGACAGCTGGGGGCGGGGCCTGGGGAGGGGCGTGGCCACGGCCGTCTGCCAATCCAGCGAGTTCATCATGTGAGTGACAGCTGGGGCGGGGGCTTGGGGAGGGGCGTGGCCACGGCCGTCTGCCAATCCAGCGAGTTCATCATGTGAGTGACAGCTGGGGGCGGGGCCTGGGGATGGGGCGTGGCCACAGCCATCTACCAATCCAGCGAGTTCATCATGTGAGTGACAGCTGGGGTGGGGCCTGGGGAGGGGCGTGATCACTGTCATCTGCCAATCCAGCGAGTTCATCATGTGAGTGACAGCTGGGGGTGGGGCCTGGGGAGGGGCGGGGCCACGGCCATCTGCCAATCCAGCGAGTTCATCATGTGAGTGACAGCTGGGGCGGGGCCTGGGGAGGGGCGTGGTCACAGCCATTTGTCAATCAAGTTAGTTCATGTCAGAGGTGGGGTGGGGCTTAGGGGAGGGGCATGGTCACTTCCACCTGTCAATCAAGCAAGTTCATTGTGAGTGACAGCTGGGGGTGGGGCTTGAGGAGGAGGCGTGGCCATGACCATCTGTCAATCAAGTGAGCTCATGTGAGTGACAGCTGGGGATGGGGCTTGGGGAGGGAGCATGGCCATGACCATCTGTCAATCAAGTGAGTTCATGTGAGTGACAGCTGGGGGTGGGGCCTGAGGAGGGTGCGGGGCCACAACCATTTGTCAATTGAGTTCATGTGAGTGATTGGTGGGGTGGGGCTTAGGGGAGGGGCGTGGTCACTGCCACCTGTCAATCAAGCAAGTTCATCATGTGAGTGACAGCTGGGGGCGGGGCCTGAGGAGGGGGCGTGGCCACATCCATCTGTCAATCAAGTGAGTTCATGTGAGTGACAGCTGGGGGTGGGGCTTGGGAGGGGCGTGGTCACTCCCACCTGTCAATCAAGCCAGTTCATCATGTGAGTGACAGTTGGGGCGGGGCTTGGGGAGGGGGCGTGGCCACATCTGTCTGTCAATCAAGTGAGTTCATGTGAGTGGCAGGTGGGGCGGGGCCTGGGGAGGGGCGTGGCCACAGCCATCTGTCAATCATGTTCATGTGGGTGATGGGCAGGGGCGGGGCTTGGGAGTGGGCAGGGTCACAGCTGTCAATCAAGTTCATCATGTAAGTGACAGTTGGGAAGGGGGCGTGGCCACATTTGCCTGTCAATCCAGAAAGCTCATAATGTGAGTGATTAACAGGGCAGGGTCACAACCTGTCAGTCAGTTTATCATGTGACAGGGAAGGGGCGGGGCTTGGGGCAGGGACTGGTGACAGTGGGTGGGGTTTGGTGACAAGGGGGTGTGTCCCTCACTGACCCCGCCCCCTCGCAGGCCGGACAGTGCCGTGCCCGGGGACGTGCTGGTGCTGACCAAACCCTTGGGGACACACATGGCTGTCACCGCTCACCAGTGGCTGGACATCGTGAGTGCCCCTGGGGACACGGGGGGGACACGGGGGGGGACATGGGGACGCCATGTGGGGGGCACCCACAGCCAGCCTGGGGGCACCAGGGACACCTGAGATGGGGGAAGGACCTCCAGGTGTCCCCAGAGGGACCCAAAATGGGACCCTGAGCCACCTCTGGTGTCACCAGGGGCACTTGAGATGGAGGGGGACCTCCAGGTGTCCCCAGAGGGACCTGAAATGAGACCCTGAGCCACCCCTGATGTCCCCAAACGGACCTGAAATGGAACCCTGAGCCACCCCTGGTGTCCCCAGGGGGACCTTGAGCCACCCTGGTGTCACCAGGGGCACTTGAGATGGAGGGGGGGGACCTCCAGGTATCCCCACCCACCTCTGGTGTCCCCAAAGGGACTCAAAGAATGTCACCAAAAGCCACCCCTGGTGTCCCCAGAGAGGCGGAGCTTCACTAGGAGGGTCCTTAAGCCACCCCTGATGACCCCAAGAACGCCAAGACCCTCCCCCAAATGACCCCAAAGTCACCTCAGATGTCCCCAAGGGCAACCTTGAACCACCCCTGCTGTCCCCAAGGAGACCAAGAGCCCCCCCAGTGACCCCTGCTGTCCCCAAGGAGCCCCCTGGGCCCCACGGGGGGGTGTCCCCAAGGCCACCACGGGGGGTCCCTGACACTTGTCCCCTCGGTGTCCCCTCAGCCCGAGCGCTGGAACAAGATCAAGCTGGTGGTGACACGGGAGGAGGTGGAGCTGGCCTACCAGGAGGCCGTGGCCAGCATGGCCACCCTCAACCGCACCGGTGGGTGACACCCTGGGGACATGGAGACACCCTGGGGACACCCTGGGGACACCCTGGGGACACCCTGGGGACATGGGCTGGCCTACCAGGAGGCCGTGGCCAGCATGGCCACCCTCAACCACACTGGTGGGTGACAATGGGGACACCCTGGGGACACCCTGGGACACCCTGGGGACACCCTGGGGACACCCTGGGACACCCTGAGTACACCTGGGGACACCCTGGGGACACCCTGGGGCACCTGGGGACACCCTGGGGACACCCTGGGGACACCTGGGGACACCCTGGGGACACCCTGGGGACACCCTGGGGACATGGGCTGACCTTCCAGGAGGCTGTGGCCAGCATGGCCACCCTCAACCGCACCGGTGGGTGACAATGGGGACACCTGGGGACACCCTGGGGACACCCTGGGACACCTGGGGACACCCTGGGACACCTGGGGACACCTGGGGCACCTGGGGACACCCTGGGGACACCTGGGGCACCTGGGGACACCCTGGGGACACCCTGGGACACCTGGGGCACCTGGGGACACCCTGGGGACACCCTGGGGATGCCCAGGGGACACCCTGGGACACCTGGGGACACCCTGGGACACCTGGGGACGCCCAGGGGACACCTGGGGACATGGGCTGGCCTACCAGGAGGCCGTGGCCAGCATGGCCACCCTCAACCGCACCGGTGGGTGACACCCTGGGGACACCTGGGGACACCCTGGGGACACGCTGGGACACCCTGGAGACACCCTGGGACACCTGGGGACACCCTGAGTACACCTGGGGACACCCTGGGGCACCTGGGGACACCCTGGGACACCTGGGGACACCCTGAGTACACCTGGGGACACCCTGGGACACCTGGGGACACCTCGGGACATGGGCTGGCCTACCAGGAGGCCGTGGCCAGCATGGCCACCCTCAACCGCACCGGTGGGTGACAATGGGGACGTGGAGACACCCTGGGGACACCCTGAGTACACCTGGGGACACCTGGGGACACCCTGGGGACACCCTGGGGACACCCTGGGACACCTGGGGACACCTGGGGACACCCTGGGGACACCCTGGGGACACCCTGGGACACCTGGGGACACCCTGGGGCACCTGGGGACACCTGGGGACACCCTGGGGACGCCCAGGGGACACCCTGGGGACACCCTGAGTACACCTGGGGACACCCTGGGGACACCCTGGGGACACCTGGGGACACCCTGAGGACACCTGGGGACATGGGCTGACCTTCCAGGAGGCTGTGGCCAGCATGGCCACCCTCAACCGCACCGGTGGGTGACAATGGGGACATGGAGACACCCTGGGGACACGAGGGGACACCCTGGGGACACGAGGGGACACAGGGAGGGGACACAGTTGGTGTGACAAGAGGCCACATCCAGCATGGCCACCATTTAACTGCGCTGGTGGGTGATACAGGGGGACGTGGGGACACCCTGGGGACACTGAGGGACACGAGGGGACCCAGGGGAGGTGACACAGAGGGGTGGGGTTGGTGTGCCAGGAGGCCACGTCCAGCATGGCCGCCACGTGGGTGACAAGGGGACACCCAGAATGGGACCAAAAGCCACCCCAGGTGTCTCCAAAGCCACCTCAGATGTTCCCTAAAGTGTCCTGAGGTATCCCTAAAGCCACACTAAACATGCCCAAAGCCATCTCAGATGTCACTAAAGCCACCCAAGGTGTCCCCAAGGCCACCATGGGGGTTCCTGGGACATGTTGGGTGTGACACCCTGGGGACACCCTGGTGACATTGGTGACACCAGTTTCCCCCCGCAGTGGCAGGTCTGATGAGGTCGTTTGGGGCCCACGCAGCCACCGATGTTCACCGGGTTCAGGCTGGTGGGACATGTGTGGGGATGACATTGGTGCCCCATTGGTGACATGGGGGCCATGTTGGGTGTGACACTGGTGACACCCTGGTGACATTGGTCACAGTAGTGTCCCCCCCCAGCGGCAGGTCTGATGCGGTCATTCAGAGCCCACGCAGCCACCGATGTCACCGGGTTTGGGCTGGTTGGCCATGCCCGGGTGCTGGCGGCCATGTTGGGGTGACAGGGCGGCCATGTTGTGTGTGACACTGATGTCCCCATAATGACACTGGTGCCACCCTGGTGACACTGGTGTCCCCCCCAGCGGCAGGTCTGATGCGATCATTCGGAGCCCACGCAGCCACCGATGTCACGGGGTTTGGTCTGGTGGGCCACGCCCGGGCGCTGGCAGCCATGTTAGGTGTAACACTGGTGCCACCCTGGTGACACTGGTGACACTGGTGTCCCCCCCAGCGGCAGGTCTGATGAGGTCATTCAGAGCCCACGCAGCCATGGATGTCACGGGGTTCGGGCTGGTTGGCCACGCCCGGGCTCTGGCGGCCATGTTAGGTGTAACATTGATGACACACTGGTGCCACCCTGGTGACACTGGTGACACTGGTGTCCCCCCAGCGGCAGGTCTGATGCGATCCTTTGGAGCCCACGCAGCCATGGATGTCACGGGGTTTGGTCTGGTTGGCCACGCCCGGGCTCTGGCGGCCATGTTGGGGGTGACACTGGGGACACGGCGGCCATGTTAGGTGTAACATTGATGACACACTGGTGACACCCTGGTCACACACTGGTGACACTGGTGTCCCCCCCAGCGGCAGGTCTGATGCGATCCTTCGGAGCCCACGCAGCCACGGATGTCACTGGTTTCGGGCTGGTTGGCCACGCCCGGGCTCTGGCGGCCATGTTGGGTGTGACACTGGTGACATACTGGTGCCACACTGGTGACACTGGTGACACTGGTGTCCCCCCCAGCGGCAGGTCTGATGCGATCATTCGGAGCCCACGCAGCCACCGATGTCACTGGTTTCGGGCTGGTTGGCCACGCCCGGGCTCTGGCGGCCCAGCAGCGCCTCGACGTCGCCTTCGTCATCCACAACCTGCCCGTGCTGGCCAAGATGGCGGCCGTGAGCAAGGCCTGTGGGGGCAGGGGGGGCCTCCTGCAGGGGACGGCCTCGGAGACATCGGGTACGGACACCGGGAATGGGAATGGGAATGGGATGGGGGGGCCTCCTGCAGGGGACGGCCCCGGAGACATCGGGTACGGACACCGGGAATGGGGACACTGGGAATGGGAATGGGAATGGGATGGGGGGGCCTCCTGCAGGGGACGGCCCCGGAGACATTGGGTACGGACACTGGGACACCGGGAATGGGAATGGGAATGGGATGGGGGACTCCTGCAGGGAACTGCCCCGGAGACATCGGGTACGGACATGGGGACACCGGGAATGGGAATGGGGACACTGGGAATGGGAATGGGAATGGGATGGGGGAGGGACTCCTGCAGGGGACGGCCCCGGAGACATCGGGTACGGACACCGGGAAGGGGAATGGGAATGGGAATGGGAATGGGAATGGGATGGGGGAGGGACTCCTGCAGGGAACTGTCCCGGAGACATCGGGTATGGACATGGGGACACCGGGAATGGGAATGGGAATGGGAATGGGATGGGGTGGCCTCCTGCAGGGAACTGCCCCGGAGACATCGGGTATGGACACCGGGAATGGGAATGGGAATGGGAATGGGAATGGGGGGGACTCCTGCAGGGAACTGCCCCGGAGACATCGGGTACGGACACTGGGAATGGGAATGGGATGGGGGACACCAGGAATGGGATGGGGGGGCCTCCTGCAGGGAACAGTCCCGGAGACATCGGGTATGGACACAGGGACACCGGGAATGGGGACATTGGGAATGGGAATGGGATGGGGGGGCCTCCTGCAGGGAACTGCCCCGGAGATATCGAGTATGGACATAGGGACACCGGGAATGGGGACACTGGGAATGGGAATGGGGAACAGGATTGGGGGGACCTCCTGCAGGGAACTGCCCCGGAGACATCGGGTATGGACACCGGGACACCAGGAAAGGGAATGGGATGGGGGACACTGGGAACGGGATGAGGGACACTGGGAATGGGATAGGGGGGCCTCCTGCAGGGGACGGCCCCAGAGACATCGGGTACGGACACTGGGAATGGGAATGGGAATGGGGAATGGGATGGGGGAGGGACTCCTGCAGGGGACTGCCCCAGAGACATCGGGTACGGACACGGGGACACCGGGACATGGGACACCGGGTATGGGGAGGGGACACTGGGAATGGGGACACTGGGAATGGGGAGGGGACACCGGGAACGGCGTAGGGGAGACTGGAAATGGGATGGGGGAGACCGGAGATGGAGAAGGGGGAGACCAGAAATGGGGAGGGGGAGCCAAAGATGGGGAGGGGACCCCCAGAATAGGGGTGTTTAATGAGGGGGTTCAATGGGGGGACGTTGGGTCAGCCCGGCCAGCAGGGGGCGCTGTCACAAAAGAAAAAAAAAAAAAGGGAAACCCCCCAAAAATGAGATAAAAGATCCCCAAAATGAGATAAAAGACCCCAAAAAAGAGAGGGGGGGAAACCTAGAAAATGAGGAGGGGACCCCCAAAATGAGGGGGTTTAAGGGGGGACACTGGGTCATCCCGGCCAGCAGGGAGCGCTGTCACCAAAAAAATAAGGGGAACCCCCCCCAAAAATGGGATAAAAGATCCCCAAAATGGGATAAAAGACCCCAAAAAAGAGGGAGGGGGGGACCTAGAAAATGGGGAGGGGACCCCCAGAATGAGGGGGTTTAAGGGGAGGTTTAATGGGGGGGGGACACTAGGTCATCCAGGCCAGCAGGGCGCTGTCACCGCAAAGGGACCCCCCCAAAAATGGGATAAAAGATCCCCAAAATGGGATAAAAGACCCCAAAAAGGGGGGGGGAGGCCTAGAAAATGGGGAGGGATCCCCAAAATGAGGGGGTTTAAGGGGAGGTTTAATAGGGGAAACTGGGTCATCCAGGCCAGCAGGGGGCGCTGTCACCAAAAAAGGGAAAACCCTCCAAAATGGGATAAAGACCCCAAAAGGGGGAGGCCTAGAAAATGAGGAGAGGACCCCAAAATGAGGGGGTTTAAGGGAGGTTTAATAGAGGAAACTGGGTCATCCAGGCCAGCAGGAGCGCTGTCACCAAAAATAAGGGGAAACCCCCCCAAAAAATAGGATAAAAGATCCCCAAAATGGGATAAAAGACCCCAAAAAAGAGGGGGGGGACCCCCAAAATGAGGGGGTTTAAGGGGAGGTTTAATTGGGGGACACTGGGTCATCCCGGCCAGCAGGGGGCGCTGTCACCAAAAAAATAAGGGGAAACCCCCAAAAATGGGATAAAAAATCCCCAAAATGGGATAAAAGACCCCAAAAAGGGGGGGGGAGGCCTAGAAAATGGGGAGAGGACCCCCAAAATGAGGGGGTTTAAGGGGAGGTTTAGTGGGGGGGACACTGGGTCATCCCGGCCAGCAGGGGGCGCTGTCACCAAAAAAATAAGGGGGAAAACCCCCCAAAAATGGGATAAAAAATCCCCAAAATGGGATAAAAGACCCCAAAAAAGAGGGGGGGTGAACCTAAAAAATGGAGAGGGGACCCCCAAAACGAGGGGGTTTAAGGGGAGGTTTAATGGGGGGGGACACTGGGTCATCCCGGCCAGCAGGGGGCGCTGCAACAAAAATAAGGGTAAACCCTCCCCCCATTTCGGTGTCCCCACGGTTTGGGGCCCCCCCTGACCCCCCTTTTTCTCCCCCAGGGGGGCTGCTGGTGGTGCTGCCCCGCGCCCAGGCCGCCCGGTTCTGTGCCGAGCTGAAGGCGCCGCCGGGGCGGCCCGAGGGGCTGCAGGCCTGGATCGTGGGCGTGGTGGAGAAGGGACCCCGGGGGGCTCGGCTCATCGACAAGCCCCGCATCATCGAGGTGCCCCCGGGGAGCCGCCCCCCGCCCCGACAGCCCCGCCACGGCCACGCCCCCCACCCAGTGACGCCACCAGAGCTCCTTTTTAGGTGACCCCAAAAAACCCCAGCGTTTGGGCCAAAAAAACACCCCAATGTCAGGTCAAACCCACCCCGAAATCACATCCAATCCCCCCCAAAATCAGGTCAAACCACCCCAAAATCCACCCCACGGGGTCCCCCACAAGTCCCTCTTTAGGGTGCCCCAAAACACCCAGCATTTTGGCCAAAAAAACACCCCCATATCAGGTCAAACCACCCCAAAATCCACCCCAGGGGGTCCCCCCATAAGTCCCTTTTTAGGGCGCCCCAAAACTCCCAGCATTTTGGCCAAAAAAGCACCCCCATATCAGGTCAAACCCCGCCAAAATCACTTCCAATTTCCCCCAAAAAGTCAATTCCAATCCCTCCTGGAGGGTCCTCTAAGCCCCCTTTTAGGGCACCCCAAAAACCTCCACATTTTAGCCAAAACAAAACCACCAATATCAGGTTAAACCCCCCCAAAATCAAATCACATCAAATCCTTTCCACTCGACACCCCCAGAGCCCCCTTCTGGGGCACCCCAAAAACTCCCGCATTGGACTCGGGTTCTGGCCAAAAAAAGCCCCCAAAATGAGGTCAAACCCCCCCAAAATGCACCCCAAAGGATCCCCTCAAGCTGCTTTTTTTAGGAGATCCCCAAAAAACCCCAAAATCACCCCAAAAACTTGCCCCAAAACCCTCCAGGTTCTGCCCAAAGCGCAGCAGGTGAAGCCCCAAAATCACCCCAAAATCCCCCCAAATCAGGTCAAACCCCCAAAATCAGGTCAAGTCCCCCAAATTCTCCCCCCTCAGGGTCCTCAACCCCCTTTATGGGACCCCTGAAAGACCCCTCCATACCCCAACCACCCCCACCGGCTCTGCCTGACGGGGCTTTGGGGACCCCCAAAATGACACCCTCCCAAACTTCACCCCCTCCAGGGGGACCCCAAATCCCAGGGACCCCAGCCCCCTTTTGGGATCCTGCCCCCCTAAAAAAATCACCCCCTCGGCCCCCATTTTTGGGGGAATTCCCCCAAAATCATCACCCCACCCCCGGCTTTGCCCGATGAGCAGCGGGCGAAGCCTCCAAACCCCCACCCCCAAAACTCCCCGCGTGACGCCTCCAAAACCCCCGTGGGGGTGGGGAGGGCTGAGACCCCTCAGTGAGGGGGGTTGGGGGTCCCAGTTTGGGGGGAGGGGGACGGAACCCCAGAAATGGGGCAATAAAAGTGATTTGAGGACTTTGGGGAGTTTATTTTGGGGGGAGGAGGAGACCCCAAAACTTGAGGGGGATCCCCAAAGCAGGGAGGGGAGGGAGGAGACCCCAAAACCTGAGGGGGATCCTCAAGCAGGGAGGGGAGTTTGGGAGGGGATTTGGGGGTCCCCAGATTGGGGAGGGACTTGGGGGGAGGGTCTAGGGGGTGTTGGGAGGTTCGGGGGGGTCTCCTCCGGTGAGTTTTGGGAGACCCAGTGGGGTTTGGGACCTCCCCCTCCCAAAATCACTTGGTACAGTCCAAGATATGGACCGAGTGGGGGGTTGGGGGAGATTTAGAGGGGCCAGGGGTTTTAGGTTCCCACTGGCAGGGGATCTCAGGGGTTTTGGGGTGTCAGGGGTCTCTGGTATCCCGGAGGTGTTGGACACCCCAATCAGTTGGTACAGTCCATGACGTGGTTCTGGAAGGGGTCCTGGAGGAAGGAATTTGAGGGAGTTTTGGGGGGATTTTGGGGTTCCTCAGAGCTGGGGATTTATGGGGGATCCCGTGGGAGATTTTGGGGTCCCAGGGCGGTTTTTGGGGTGCCATGGGGGGCTCTGACACCCCCCCCCCATCCCTTGATGCAGTCCATGACATAGATCTGGTATGGGGGTCCCAGGAGGGGAATTTTTAGGGAGTTTTGGGGGTCCCCCAGAGCTGGGGGTTTATGCGAGATCCCAAGGGGTTTTTTTGGGGTCCCATGGGGGTTTTTGGGGTGTAACATGGCATCCTGGTCATGAAAGACACGGCGATTTCTTGGTCTCTCGGGCCATGAACCTGCAGACCCCGCTGTGGTGGGCAGGGAATGGCGTTTATTGCCTCGTGACATGGCCTTTATATAGGGTGGTCCTGGAGGTGGTCCTGGAGGTGGTCCCTGGGGTGGTCCCTGAAGGGTGGTCCCTGGTGGGCTGGTCCCTGAGGGGTGGTCCTGGGGAGGGGGATGATCCTGGAGGGGGTGGTCTCTGTAGGGGGTGGTCCCTGGAGGTGGTCCCTGGAGGTGGTCCCTGGGAGAGGGTGGTCCCTGGGGATGATCCCTGGAGGGGGTGGTCCCGGAGGGTGGTCCCTGAGGGGTGGTCTCTGGAGGGGGTGGTCCCTGGGGGTGAGTCTCTGGAGGGTGGTCCCTGGAGGAGGTGGTCCCAGGGGGTGGTCCTGGAGGGGTGGTCCCTGGGGGATGATCCTGGAGGGTGGTCTCTGGAGTGGGGTGGTCCCTAGAGGGGGTGGTCCCTGAGGGTGGCCTGGAGGGTGGTCCCTGGAGGGTGGTCACTGGAGGGGGTGGTCCCTGGAGGGGGTGGTCTCTGGAGGGTGGTCTCTGGAGGTGGTCCCGGGAGGGGGGAATGGTCCCTGGGGGGGGTGGTCCCTGGGGGGATGATCCCTGGCTTTCCGTACACTCCGAAATCTTCCGAGCGCCAGACCCTCTCTGCCCCCATCTCCCCCCATCCACGCCGTACAGAGCAGGCCGCAGTCTGAGGAGTGCAGAACGCTGTCACAGAGGTCACAGAGGTCACAGAGGTGAAAAGTTTTTAAGGCTCAACGAGTGGCTCGAAGAAAGCCTGGAGAGGTAGAGAGGAGTGTCCCAACACTGAGGTACAGAACTGTGAGTCAGTGCAAAACTGTGTGGAATTACACTGGTCTAAGGCACTATTTACAGCATTCGCCGCTCTTTGAGCACCGTGATGTTGATGGATTTCAGTGGCTGGTGATGGGAGTGGCCTGCACGGGCTGGCTCTGCCTGGGAAAGTGCCAGGATCGGCATCACCTGATGACAGACCTCGCTGCTTTCTCTCACGGTCTCGTGCTGTCCCGAGGCCATCTGGGCTTTGTCTGCTCCGATCCCGCAGGGCTGGACAGGGTGCTGATCAGCGTGTTGTCTCCCCCTGGCACTGGGCTGTACCCGTCCCAAGGGCATCCACTGACCCAATCCTGCAAGTAAAAGCTCGCAGTTGTCATTAGTTTTGTTCTGCAGGTCTGGTTTAACAGATTTAAGTGGGCACCATCGTGAGGAAGTGTCAGACTCAGAGGTGTTCCATTCCCTGTAGCTGCATTCAGGTGTGGCTGCCTCATGTCCCAAGTGGGAGGAGGCTGGGTGCGGCCAAGGCACTCGGGGTGCCCCCTCCCCTTCGCGTTTCCCCGCTTTTTAACCCTGCAATCCTTAGCAAAATGCCCTTTTTTGCCACATGCAAAGCATGGCCCTCTTGGCCGATTACGAGGAGAGGGTTTTATTATTGTCGGGCTCCCCAGCTGGGGGCAATTTACTGCCACGTGGCCGGGCTGGCGGCATTTAAAACACACCATTGTGTTGGTTATTGCTGTGTGAACAGCCGCCTGGATTAGGGCCAAACGCTCCTCTTTTGTGACGTGCTTGATCATGTCTGCAATGCTCGCCCCCCATGGCAGCGACCTTAAGATCTCTTTGGTCGCTGAATTGCATCGCTGGCGTAAACAATCAGCTACAACCGGGCCCTTCGCCTCGGGGGGCAGGGAGGAGGAATCCACCGCTGCCTGCAGGCGATCCACAAACCGTGTGAAGGTTTCGCTTTCAGCCTGTTTGATGGTGGCCCACGGGGATGGCTTAGCAATGAGTGCCGAGGCCGTGCGAATGGCTTCTCTGGCTGCACGGGTGGTTGTTGTGATCTCGTGTGGCCGCAAACCCTCTGCTTGAGCGCGAGGGGTGACCATGGTGGGGTCGGTACCCAGCAATCGCTGCAGGCTGGAGCCATGCAGGGGATGATCTGGCCCGGTTACTAATACCAGTTGCTTTTCACAATTATCCTCCCACTCCTGTTTGAAAACAACCATGCCCGCCCCGTCGAAAATCATCCTACAGGTTTGCCTGATGTCGAATGGGAGCAGATCGTCCCCCCCGAAAAGACTGTCTATGAGGGTGGAAACCACGGCAGAATTGAGCCCTTTGTCTGCTATGGCCTCGGTAATAGCCTGAACCAAATCAGTTCTGATTGCCTTCCAGTCGGTGAGAGGGGTTAGTTCTTTCCGTGGCTTAGGTTTATTTTTATTTTCATTTATAATTACACCTACATCCTTTTTCTCCGCACTCAGATCGGTCACATGCCACACGCCTCTGTCTCTCCGCTGGCTTTGTAACTCCCCCGGGAATGTGGGAGCGTCTGGCTCAGGGTCCGAGCGGGACTGACGGGGCACTGCGGGTTTGCACGCTCTCCTGGAGGGGCTCCGGCCCCGACCCTGCCCCGTGTGGGTGTGTGACTGCCTGCCCTGCCTCTGTCCCGGGCACACAGACCGCTCCCGACCCTGCCCCGTGTGGGTGTGTGACTGCCTGCCCTGCCTCTGTCCCGGGCACACAGACCGCTCCCGACCCTGCCCCGTGTGGGTGTGTGACTGCCTGCCCTGCCTCTGTCCCGGGCACACAGACCGCTCCCGACCCTGCCCCGTGTGGGTGTGTGACTGCCTGCCCTGCCTCTGTCCCGGGCACACAGACCGCTCCCGACCCTGCCCCGTGTGGGTGTGTGACTGCCTGCCCTGCCTCTGTCCCGGGCACACTAGGAGCCGCTCCCTGAGCCCCTGCCCCCGTGTGGGTGTGTGACTGCCTGCCCTGCCCTCTGTCCAGGCACACAGAGCGCTCCCCGACCCTGCCCCGTGTGGGTGTGTGACTGCCTGCCCTGCCTCTGTCCTGAGCACACAGACCGCTCCCGACCCTGCCCCGTGTGGGTGTGTGACTGCCTGCCTGCCTCTCCAGGCACACAGACCGCTCCCTCCTCCTGCGCTCGCCGACCCCTTTGCGGGGCACGGGACCTACGTGAGCCTTTTTCCAAGCGCCCACCATGACCGGCACTGCCCCCCGACTCCCCCTCCTCCTCCGGGCTCGAGCTCTCTGTTTCACTCGTGCTGTCTGCCCCGCCCGAGCTCTCATTTTCACTTGCACAGCTCTCTTTACACAAAGCCTTTCTCTCACTCCGCCGGCACTCACCACTCCTCCCCCCGCCGGGCCTTGGCCAGCCACCATCGACCCTCACTGCTCTCCTCCCCCCGCCGGCGTTATCAGCTCCCCCCGCCTTTCTCCTTCCCTCGAGGGGCCATTTCGAGACCCACAGGGCGGGGGCTCATCCCTAAACTCTGCGGTTTCCACAACTTCTCCAGCTTCCCCGCCAGCTCTTTCCACACAGAGCTCCCTCCACCGCTCCGCTCCTGCCCCCCCGCAGACGAATCCGGGTTAGAAAGCTGCGGGGAATCATCGCCCTCCGGTGTGTTTTTAAGCACAGCAGAATCACCAGAAACTGGGAGGGGTGGGGTCTGCGTAGCCGCCCCCATCCCCAACTTCAGGGACGTCTCTCAGGCGCGTTTGTGCTGCCTCCCACGTCTCCTGCTCCCCCCTCGCCTTTCGCAAGGCTCGGATAACTTTCCCCCACGCTTTCAGGTGGGTCCCGTGGCCTGAGGACATCGTTTCCTCGGCCAATGCTTTCGTGCATTTATCCCAAACATCGGGGTGGAGAATATCCACCGGCTGCTCTATAGCCCCGATTTGCATTAATTTTGTGACCGCAACGGTAAAATCCTTAGGCTTGCAATCAATCCCCCACTGATTATGAACCTCAGATACGACCTTCACAAGGGCTTCCATCCTCCTTGGTGGTCCGGGAGGGTCCTCCCCTGCCCGGCTGGTCCAGCTGCCCGGCCGCCTTCCACCCCAGCTCAGGCGAAATCCCGTCCCGATGCCCGGGGAGCCTCCGGGCCACGCGGGGTTCGGCACCACTCGAGACGCGGTGACCTGGCCAGGAGAGACACGGAGACCCTCGCTTGGTCTCTCGGGCCATGAACCTGCAGACCCCGCTGTGGTGGGCAGGGAATGGCGTTTATTGCCTCGTGACGCGGCCCTGTACGATGCTCACATTGTCACTTCTGTCCGCTCACGCTGCCGCCTCAGCTCTGGTGGCTCTCGGGCAGCCGAGGGGGGTGGTCCCTGGAGGTGGTCCTGGAGGTGGGTCCCTGGGGTGGTAAGTTTGGGGGTGGTCCCTGGAGGGTGGTCCTGGGGGTGGTCCCTGGAGGGGGTGATCTGGGGGGTGGTCTGGGGGTGGTCCTGGAGGGGTGGTGGGTCCCTGGAGGGGTGGTCCTGGGGGTGGTCTCTGGAGTGGTCCTGAGGGTGGTCCCTGGAGGATGGGGGTGGTCCCTGGAGGGGGTGGTCTCCTGGAGGGGTGGTCCTGGGGGTGGCCCTGGGGGGGTGGTCCCTGGAGGGGTGGGGTGGTCCCTGGAGGTGGTCTCTGGAGGGTGGCTCTGAGGGGTGGTCCCTGGAGGTGGTCCTGGAGGGGTGGTCCCTGGGGGGGGGTGGTCCCTGGGGGGTGGTGGAGGGGTGGCCCTGGAGGTGGTGTCTGGAGGGGTGATCCCTGGAGGGGGTGGTCCCTGGGGGTGGTCCTGGGGTGGTCCCTGGAGGTGATCCTGGAGGGTGGTCCTGGGGGTGGTCCCCGGAGGGGGTGGTCCCCGAGGGGAGGTGGTCTCTGGAGGGGGTGGTCCCTGAGGGGGGGGTGGTCCCTGCTGTTATAGGTTACCAGCAATGCTTTAAAGGAATTGAAGGAGCCAATTTACAATAGCAAGCAAATTTATTAATAAGCGGTAGATAAACAATCGGCGCGCGCCGGGAGGGGGGGGCTGTTTAGAACAAAAGAAAGTTCTCTCACAGCTCCCCCCCCCCCAAGCTCTCAAACTTCGCCTTTTGAACCCCCCGGCTCGCCGTCCAGACATGCTCAGTACATAGGTTCTTATCCATACATAGTCCGGGGCATGTGCTCTTTGCACATGCTCATTGCAAAGTTTTCCCCATGCATGTTTTTGGGCTGTGTTACCGGCGTCCGTGGTCTGGGGGTTTCTCTGTGGGCCGGGGTCTCTGTGATGAAGATTTTGAGTCTTCCTCGATGTCCGCAAGATGAACCCGGCTTGGAGCATGCGCCTTTAATAGGTATTTTTCCTCCCCTTCCAGTCTTATCGTCTATATAAATCACTTTGACTCCTTGTTTAGAGGAAGCTTCTCAGTGTCCCCAGCTGGTGTAGTTTATACTGCCAGACTTCCCTCCCCCCTTCCTTATCAGCCTCGGGAACAAACAGCAGCTTGTTAGAGGCAGTTAACAGATATGTGGGAAATACACACGGAAATCACATATCAATGTCCTGAAGTTTTACTAAGCTTAACAAAAAAGAATCCCCTTTAAAATATAGTTTATTACACCTGCCTTTCCATTCACTCCGAAATCTTCCGAGCGCCAGACCCCTGTCTGCCCTCACTGGGGTGCTCTGGGGGTTTTTGGGGTGCCGTGGGGGGCTCTGACCCCCCCCCGCTTGATGCAGTCCATGACGTGGATCTGGAGGGGGTCCTGGAAGGGGTGTTTGAAGGAGTTTTGGGGGGATTTGGGGGTCCCCCAGAGCTGGGGGTTTATGGGGGATTCCAGGGGGGGGTTTGGGGGATTCCAGGGGGGTTTTTGGGGTGCCGTGGGGGGCTCTGACACCCCCCCCCATCCCCTGATGCAGTCCATGACGTGGATCTGGAGGGGGATCCTGGGGGGAGGTGTTTGAAGGAGTTTTGGGGGGATTTGGGGGTCCCCCAGAGCTGGGGGATTGTGGGGTGTTCCAGGGGGGTTTTTGGGGTCCTGTGGGAGGTTTTGGGGTGCAAGAGGGGGGGGTGTCTGACCCCATCACTTGATGCAGTCCATGACGTGGATCTGGAAGGGGGGTCCTGGGGGGGGGGTGTTTGAAGGAGTTTTGGGGGGATTTGGGGGTCCCCCAGAGCTGGGGGTTTATGGGGGGTTCCAGGAGGGTTTATCGGGGGTTCCAGGGGGGTTTTTGGGGTCCAGGGGGGTTTTTGAGGTCCGGGGGGGTTTTTGAGGTGCCGTGGGGGGCTCTGACTCCCCCCCCCCATCACTTGATGCAGTCCATGACGTGGATCTGGAGGGGGATCCTGGAAGGGGTGTTTGAAGGAGTTTTGGGGGGATTTGGGGGTCCCCCAGAGCTGGGGGATTGTGGGGTGTTCCAGGGGGGTTTTGGGGGTCCCGTGGGGGGCTCTGACCCCCATCCCTTGATGCAGTCCATGACGTGGATCTGGAAGGGGGGTCCTGGGGGTGTAATAGAAGGGTTAACTTTGTTTATAAAATCTTACGTGTATGAGGGAGTCAGAAAGTTTCTGTTGTAATTAAACAAGAGGAGTTTCACAGCCAGCTTGCTAATCAAGCGAGTGTCAATAAACAACTGATAAGAACTGCACCTTTTCATCTCTGACAAATACCAGACGACCACTTACCCAGCCACCGAACTCAAGCAACAAACAAATTTACATCCGAAAAGCCAATGCCAGACACCACTTAACGTGTAATTAACAACCACAACGTGTATAAAAAGAGACCCTGACTTCATTTCGGGGTGTGCCTCGGCAGGGCGCTGCCCTCCAGGCCACCCAGCGCTGTTTTGCTTTATTATTGCTTGCTTAATAAATTTATCAATGTTTAATTGGAATTGAGTTGTCTAAATTCTTATACTAACTTATAACCGGGGGGGGAGGTGTTTGAGGGAGTTTTGGGGAGATTTGGAGGTCCCCAGAGCTGGGGGTTTATGGGGGTGTCCAGGGGGTTTTTGGGGTCCCGTAGGAGGTTTTGGGGTGCTAGGGGGGTGTTGTCTGACCCCCCCATCCCTTGATGCAGTCCATGACGTGGATCTGGAAGAGGGGTCCGGGGGGGGTGTTTGAAGGAGTTCTGGGAGGATTTGGGAGTCCCCAGAGCAGGGGTTTATGGGAGTCCTGTGGGAGGTTTTGGGATCCCAGGGGGTTTTTGGGGTCAGGGGTTTGGGGTGCCGTGGAGGTTTTGGGGTCCTGTGGGAGGCTTTGGGTGCCCCATCCTCTGATGCAGTCCATGACGTGGATCTGCAAGCGTGGTCCATGGCGGGTGATGGGTTGAAGGGATTTTGGGGTCCCCAGAGCAGGGAGTTTATGGGGATCCCAGGGGGTTTATGGGGGTTCCAGGGGTGTTTTGGGGTCCCAGGGAGTTTTGGGGTGCCACGCATCACTCGATGCAGTCCATGACGTGGATCTGCCAGGGTGTCCATGTCGGGGACGGGGTTGAAGGGATTTGGGGGTTCCCCAGAGCAGGGGGTTTATGGGGAGTCCCAGGGGTTATGGGGTCCCAGGGGTTTTGGGGTCCCGGGGGTTTTTGGGTGCTGCATCACTTGATGCAGTCCATGACGTGGATCTGCAGCGTGTCCATGTCGGGCGGGGTTTGAAGGATTTTGGGGTCCCCAGAGCAGGGGGTTTATGGGGTTCCGGGGTCAGGGGATTTTGGGGTCCCAGGGAGGTTTTGGGGTGCTGGGAGTCACTTGATGCAGTCCATGACGTGGATCTGCAGCGTGTCCATGTCGGGGTGGGGTTTGAAGGGATTTTGGGGATTCCCAGAGCTGAGGGGTCAGGTTATGGGGATCCCAGGGGGTTTTGGGGTCCCAGGGGTTTTGGGGTGCCCGCAGTCACTTGATGCAGTCCATGACGTGGATCTGCAGCGTGTCCATGTCGAGGTGGGGTTTGAAGGGATTTTGGGGTCCCCAGAGCAGGGGGTTATGGGGGTTCCAGGGGGGTTTTGGGGTCCCAGGGGTGTTTTGGGGTGCCGGGGTCACTTGATGCAGTCCATGACGTGGATCTGCAGCGTGTCCATGTCGGGGGCCTTGTACTGGCACTTGGGGCAGCAAAGGTCGGGCTCCTCCTCGGGGGGGGCCACGAGCCCCCCAAAACCTGCTGGGAAAAGGGGAGGAGGGGGGCAGAGTCAGCCCCTGACACCCCCCCAAGGGAATTTGGGGGTCCCAGAGCCCCCAGACTCACCCCCCCCCGGGGCCGGCGCCGGGGGCAGCTCCGAGTGCCGGTTCCGCATCTCCTCCAGCCGCCAGCTCTGGGGCTGACAGGGGGTCACGGAGGGGTTTGGGGGGTCCCAGAGGGATTTGGGGGTTTGAGGTGGTCTGGAGCGGGTCTTGGAGGTCTGGGAGGGGTGGTCTGGGAGGGTCTGGAGGGTCTGAGGAAAGATTAGAGAGTCAGGGAGGAGTTTGGGGGTGCTGGAGGGGTTTGGGGGTCCTGGAGGGGTTTGGGGGGGTCTTGAGGGTTTGGGGGGGTCAGGGAGGGGTTTGGGGGTCCTGGAGGGGTTTGGGGGTCCTGGAAGGGGATTTGGGGGTCCTGGGAGGGGGCTTTGGGGGATCCTGGGGAGTTTGGAGGCTCAGGGGAGGGGGTTTGGGGGGTGCTGGGAGGGTTTGGGGGTCCCAGAGGATTTGGGGGTTGAGGTGGTCTGGGGGGTCTTGGAGGGGTCTGGGGAGAGATTAGGGGGTCAGGAGGGGTTTAGGGGTGCTGGAGGGGTTTGGGGGGTCTGGGGGTTTGGGGGATTGGGTAAGTTTGGGGGTCTTGAGGTGTTTGGGGGGTCAGGAGGGGGTTTGGGGGTCCTGGAGGGGTTTTGGGGGTCCTGGAGGTGTTTGGGGGATTTGGGTAAGATTTGGGGGTCTGGGGATGGAAATGGGAGGAGGGAAAAGGGATTGGGGGGTCAGGAGGGGGTTTGGGGGTTCTGGGAGGAGTTTGGGGGATCCTGAGGAGTTTGGGGGTCAGGGAGGGGTTTTAGGGGTCCTGGAGGGACTGGGGAGTTCCTGGGAGGGGTTTGGGGGATTTGGGTAAGTTTGGGGGTCTGGGGAGGAAATGAGAGGAGGAAAAAGGGGTTGGAGGGTCGTGGGGGTCCTGGAGGAGTTTGGGGGTCCTGGGGGGTTTTGGGGGTCCTGGGGGGTTTGGGGGATTGGGGTAAGTTTAGGGGGTCTGGGGAGGGAAAAGGAAGGACAGAAAGAGAGGGGGTCAGGGGGTTTTGGGGGTCGGGGGTCAGGGGAGGTTTGGGGGGTTCTGGAGGGGGTTGGGGGGTCAAGGAAGTTTGGGGGGTCCTGGAGGGGT